GTCTGAAAGCAGAATTTTGTTATTATTCTGATAGCAGATATTTGCTGGGTGATGATTGACTTGAGGTGGTTTGCAGTGGTTGAACTCCATGCACAGAGGATATATAAAAGCTAGTATGCAAGGTGCAAGGTTACATTGGTCAATGCCTCCACAGCAGCGTGACCTTGCAGCACGGTGATTCCTGTATGATCATGCCTTTATCATCAACCTTATTATTGTTGATCACTTGCCTGCTTGCACAAGGAAAATTGCATGTCATTGTTTTATAATGAAAGTGAAAACCTCGCCGTGTGAGGTGTCTGAGGTTTCCTTGTGTTTGTAGAGCATCAGCCGTGGTGTTGACCACCTGTTTATTGACCGCGATGTTGACCACCTGTTGTTGACCACCACACAAATGGTACCCCAGGAATAATAAATATATATATATATATATATATATATATATATATATATATATATATATATATATATATATATATATATTATATATATATATATTGAGAGAGATTGAGAGAGATTGAGAGAGATTGAGAGAGAGAGAGAGAGATTGAGAGAGAGAGAGAGAGAGAGAGAGAGAGAGAGAGAGAGAGAGAGAGAGAGAGAGAGAGAGAGAGAGAGAGAGAGAGAGAGAGAGAGAGAGAGAGAGATTGAGAGAGAGAGAGAGAGAGAGAGAGAGAGAGAGAGAGAGAGAGAGAGAGAGAGAGAGAGAGAGAGAGAGAGAGAGAGAGAGAGAGAGAGAGAGAGAGAGAGAGAGATCGTATGTGAAGGACGAGGCTATGGAGACCTCGTTCGCTGAGGCTACGTGCCACTCTATGATTGTCTACCTGTACCAGGCTTCGTTTGATTGCGTAAATTACTATAGGTTGTCTTATTGGTTATATAATTCCCTATGTTCTACGTCTGAGGGGCTATGTACACAGTCTATTTCTGAGGGATATGTAAACCACAATTGCCTACTTCTGAGGGGGCTATGTAAACTCCTAGAGTAGAGCGGTTATGCTGGGGCATAACTGTCTGTTTCACTGAGCGTCTTAACGGTGGAGTTAGAAGATGACTTTCCCCGTCCACCACCAGACACCGTACACAACCGTCACTTAACACTGTCTAACTGCATTGTCCCGCTTACAGTCACCCACCGTAATGTCCGGAGTTTCAGGATCGTAAATCTTGCTTTCTCTTCGTGACTCTTGAGTCACTGGTCCCTGGATAAAACCTTCGGTGCGTCCGATCCCACTGACATCGCTCGTCTTATATCTTTAGTTCTGTTATTGCAGCGTCCTGTGTGAGGTTTAGCGCCTTTTGGATATCCCACGACACAGTGCCCCGTATCGTGGGATATGCTTCCCAACTTGGTGCCTTGTTTTCTCAACTGTGTGACAGTCTACGATAACTGTCGCGTCTGGTGTAATGATAACGTGTAACAAATGATACGTTGTTCTTCCTGCCCGACTGGTGACGTGCATTTAGTCCCTGTCTGCTATTGTTTGCATGTTTACAAATTACGGGCACAACGTGGCCGTTATGGCTGAGGTGATAATAGTGGTGGAGGAGCTGTGAGTGCCACACTGAGCTGTGGAGCGGATACACGGGGCATTAGTAGACACAAACACAGATATCACACAAGACGATAATTTGCCAGGAACAAAGATGCTGGTAAGTTGTGTCTTCGGCCACTCACAAACCTGTGAGTGGCCGAAGACTGAAATTGGAGGAGTGTGGTAACACTGGGAGCGGCGGCCAGCCAAGATGACACCGTGGAGGACAGCCAAGATGACACCGTGGAGGACAGCCAAGATGACACCGTGGAGGACAGCCAAGATGACACCCTGGAGGACAGCCAAGATGACACCCTGGAGGACAGCCAAGATGACACCCTGGAGGACAGTCAAGATGACACCCTGGAGGACAGCCAAGATGACACCCTGGAGGACAGTCAAGATGACACCCTGGAGGACAGTCAAGATGACACCCTGGAGGACAGTCAAGATGACACCCTGGAGGACAGTCAAGATGACACCCTGGAGGACAGCCAAGATGACACCCTGGAGGACAGTCAAGATGACACCCTGGAGGACAGTCAAGTGTATTTAATGTGAGACAAAGTCTTTTAATCACTGGCATGATAGTGACAAGTGGATCAAGTGGTGCATGTTGCAAGTGGTAGAGGGATACAGTGACTGTGGTAGAGGGATGCAGTGAGTGTGGTAGAGGGATACAGTGAGTGTGGTAGAGGGATACAGTGAGTGTGGTAGAGCGGTACCATAAGAGTGAGTGAAGGTGATGGAGGCAACTTTCAACATTGTATTACCAGATATAAATATTGTGGATGAGTGAAGACTGCAGTCATCTGTGGTGGAGCCACACTCTTTAAACCTTCGTTTGTTGCTTAATGATGGAAAGTCTACCAATAGCTGGTGAGGGCCGCTTGTGAGGGTCGTTTATGGGGGAGGGGGTTCACCGGTTAATGGTTAGTTTTAGAGTGTAATTAATTTATTATTAACCCAATACGTTTTTAGAGTGTAATTAGTTTATTATTGACCCAATACGCATCGTGTGGACGTGGAGGGGCGGTTACAGGCATATAAAGAGCGGGAACTTGATCTTTAAGCTTACACATGTATAGTGGATGAGTTACAAACAGCTTCCATGTGCTTACCATGCACCATCCAGGTGTGCGGTGGGGACAGTGCCCTCACCTGCATGTTCTGCTCACAGTAGGCACACCTGGAATACTTGACATATGCCACACACAGTGGCACACGCCGGGCATAAGCCTGTGTCGCGGCACCATCACAACAAGAGGACTGTTGAAAATATGATATTCATATGAGGCAGAAGGAAGTAAGGAAGTTTATTTAAAGCCTCACATTGGAGGCAACCAGCGGGTGAGGCTGACCACAAGCTAGGCTGCGCGAGGAAAAAACTCTCGAAATCACCAACAGGTAATCAACACGTGTGTGTGTTTTGCGGGGAGTGAATCAGTAGTGAAGCGGTACAGTCCAACTCCATCCACAGCTATACGAGAGTCGGGAATTAGTAGATTACACCGCTCGCAACTTAAACACTGAGCTCGAGGAGGTCACCCTCGGTAAGAACATGTACAACTACTGTCACTTTAATTGGTTGATAGCAGTATTATGTAAGGTGTGTGAGAGTGGTGGGGCCGGCGAGGGTGGTGGTCGTCCGGCAGGGTGGAGTCTCTACTGCTGGGGAGGTGTGATGATCACCCTGGGTGTCTCACCAACACGTCTCTACTGCTGGGAAGGTGTGATGATCACCCTGGGTGTCTGACCAACACGTCTCTACTGCTGGGGAGGTGTGATGATCACCCTGGGTGTCTGACCAACACGTCTCTACTGCTGGGGAGGTGTGATGATCACCCTGGGTGTCTGACCAACACGTCTCTACTGCTGGGAAGGTGTGATGATCACCCTGGGTGTCTGACCAACACGTCTCTACTGCTGGGGAGGTGTGATGATCACCCTGGGTGTCTGACCAACACGTCTCTACTGCTGGGAAGGTGTGATGATCACCCTGGGTGTCTGACCAACACGTCTCTACTGCTGGGGAGGTGTGATGATCACCCTGGGTGTCTCACCAACACGTCTCTACTGCTGGGAAGGTGTGATGATCACCCTGGGTGTCTCACCAACACGTCTCTACTGCTGGGAAGGTGTGATGATCACCCTGGGTGTCTCACCAACACGTCTCTACTGCTGGGAAGGTGTGATGATCACCCTGGGTGTCTGACCAACACGTCTCTACTGCTGGGGAGGTGTGATGATCACCCTGGGTGTCTCACCAACACGTCTCTACTGCTGGGGAGGTGTGATGATCACCCTGGGTGTCTCACCAACACCTCCACCTATCTACCTGTTTCCACCACCTAGTTTAACTCCTCGGATCTACCTTCTAACCGTTGGTCGTCTAATGCAATGATTCCATTATCACCACATATACTGTATATTGGTATTCTCTCCCTTCTCTCGTGTTGGTACGCTACATAGTCTCCCGGCTTGGTGCCTTCTTTTTTTTAACTACTTACTTATCTTCTTATACTCCCCTCTCATAATAGGAGTTGCCTCATATGGACTAACAGGCCTTCTTATGTTTCTATACAATATTTTCTCCCCTCATTTGATACACTTCTATTCTCTACTATGATATATTCCCCAGATACACTACAAGAAACACGACGCAAATTGATCTTTATCCATATCTTTGCCTTTCACTTTCACAAAACAGTGGCTTGCTATTTAGACCACACCGAGCCTCTAGTGTCTCTATCCCCCGGGGTCCTCACAGGTCGCTTTCCTGACGATGACGCTGCTGCTGCTGCCGAACATCCGAGGCCAGAACTTCATGTCGGAGGCCCGTGAGGATATGTTCTCTGCCACCAGCAAACTCGAGGACTTGCTCAGCCTGGAGGCCGAGATCGTGAGAATGGTGGAGAGGTACCTGGAGGTGGCCCATCAGAGGATCACCACCATCAGACGGTGAGTGGAGGTACCAGGAGGTGGCCCATCAGAGGATCACCACCATCAGACGGTGAGTGGAGGTACCTGGAGGTGGCCCATCAGAGGATCACCACCATCAGACGGTGAGTGGAGGTACCAGGAGGTGGCCCATCAGAGGATCACCACCATCAGACGGTGAGTGGAGGTACCAGGAGGTGGCCCATCAGAGGATCACCACCATCAGACGGTGAGTGGAGGTACCAGGAGGTGGCCCATCAGAGGATCACCACCATCAGACGGTGAGTGGAGGTACCAGGAGGTGGCCCATCAGAGGATCACCACCATCAGACGGTGAGTGGAGGTACCAGGAGGTGGCCCATCAGAGGATCACCACCATCAGACGGTGAGTGGAGGTACCAGGAGGTGGCCCATCAGAGGATCACCACCATCAGACGGTGAGTGGAGGTACCAGGAGGTGGCCCATCAGAGGATCACCACCATCAGACGGTGAGTGGAGGTACCAGGAGGTGGCCCATCAGAGGATCACCACCATCAGACGGTGAGTGGAGGTACCAGGAGGTGGCCCATCAGAGGATCACCACCATCAGACGGTGAGTGGAGGTACCAGGAGGTGGCCCATCAGAGGATCACCACCATCAGACGGTGAGTGGAGGTACCAGGAGGTGGCCCATCAGAGGATCACCACCATCAGACGGTGAGTGGAGGTACCAGGAGGTGGCCCATCAGAGGATCACCACCATCAGACGGTGAGTGGAGGTACCAGGAGGTGGCCCATCAGAGGATCACCACCATCAGACGGTGAGTGGAGGTACCAGGAGGCGGCTCAGTCTCTCATCCGATGTTTTTAACCACGTATTTGGTATTCCTGGTAGGGGATATCACACACTTATTTATGGCCATAAAATTAAGAATTGCATTACTGTTGACCACTGTAGTGCTCAAGAAGTCCTCCTTGGCACTGTAGTCTACTTCCTTGTGTCACAGCCGAGGAACCCCGGGTTTAATTACCTGGCAGAAGAAAACGGGATAGGCAGGTTTCCTTTCACCTGATGCCTTTTAAAATAAATAAAAAAATAAAATGTTTATTTAGGTAAGATAAATACATACAATAAATTTTTACAAAGATTGGTTGACTTATAGGTAGAGCTATAGCTTTTCTCTCCTAGCAGTAAAAATAGGTACCCCTGGAACTCTTGATTCACACTATTTAACCCTTCATATAATCTAGTATAGCTAGATAAAGACGGGTATGTGCCAATATTAACAATAAAGTATCAAATGACCAAGATTTGGAGATATGTTTGGACATTTGGAGACAAGGGGCCCTGACAGCTGAGTGGACAGCGCTTAAGATTCGTAGACCTGAGGTTCCGGGTTCGATCCCCGGTGGAGGAGGAAACAAAATGGGCAGTTTCTTTCACCCCAGATGTCTCTGTTACCTAGCAGTAAATAGGTACCTGGCAGTTAGACAGCTACTACGGGCTGCTTTCTGGGGGGGGGGGTAACAAAAAGGAGGCCTAGTCGAGGACCGGGCCGCTGGGACGCTAAGCCCCGAAATTATCTCAAGATAACCTCAAGATAACCCGCAAGATGTTACGCTAGACAAGTGTTGAGACACCTCGGCACACGAGGACAAGTATCATGTTATTCCTGCATGTCTGCTCACTAGTCCAGTGACGTGACTGTGGTAGAGGATCACTAGTCCAGTGACGTGACTGTGGTAGAGGATCACTAGTCCAGTGACGTGATTGTGGTAGAGGATCACTAGTCCAGTGACGTGACTGTGGTAGAGGATCACTAGTCCAGTGACGTGACTGTGGTAGAGGATCACTTTCTGGTGACGTGACTGTGGTAGAGGATCACTTTCTGGTGACGTGACTGTGGTAGAGGATCACTTTCTGGTGACGTGACTGTGGTAGAGGATCACTTTCTGGTGACGTGACTGTGGTAGAGGATCACTTTCTGGTGACGTGACTGTGGTAGAGGATCACTTTCTGGTGACGTGACTGTGGTAGAGGATCACTTTCTGGTGACGTGACTGTGGTAGAGGATCACTTTCTGGTGACGTGACTGTGGTAGAGGATCACTTTCTGGTGACGTGACTGTGGTAGAGGATCACTTTCTGGTGACGTGACTGTGGTAGAGGATCACGCTCCGCACCACAATGCTCCAGGTGCTACATTTGACTTCTGAAGTGAAAGGCATCTTGACCATCCTATGACACTCTCAGTTTGTTTTTGTGTGTGATTATGTGAGTGTGTTTGTGTTTACATGTTGTGATTATGTGAGTGTGTCTGTGTTTAGTGAGTGTCTGAGGGTGTGTTGTACTCTAGATATGATAGAGTCCAATAGGCTCAGGAACCTGTACACCTGTTGATTGACGGTTGAGAGGCGGGACCAAAGAGCCAGAGTTCACCCCTCCCCCCCCCCCCCCCGAGCACAATTAGGTGAGTACGGGACCTGTAGTACCGTGGTGGCCCACTGTACCAACATGTCGTGATGAGTACGGGACCTGTAGTACCGTGGTGGCCCACTGTACCAACATGTCGTGATGAGTACGGGACCTGTAGTACCGTGGTGGCCCACTGTACCAACATGTCGTGATGAGTACGGGACCTGTAGTACCGTGGTGGCCCACTGTACCAACATGTCGTGGTGAGTACGGGACCTGTAGTACCGTGGTGGCCCACTGTACCAACATGTCGTGGTGAGTACGGGACCTGTAGTACCGTGGTGGCCCACTGTACCAACATGTCGTGGTGAGTACGGGACCTGTAGTACCGTGGTGGCCCACTGTACCAACATGTCGTGGTGAGTACGGGACCTGTAGTACCGTGGTGGCCCACTGTACCAACATGTCGTGATGAGTACGGGACCTGTAGTACCGTGGTGGTCCACTGTACCAACATGTCGTGGTGAGTACGGGACCTGTAGTACCGTGGTGGTCCACTGTACCAACATGTCGTGATGAACCACCTCACAACCTCGACTTTTCTAGTACTGAATCTAGTACAAACCGGAAAAATTTGTTAGATTTATGATCCAGTTACAACCTAACCACCCTAGGCCTAATACACGCTATCTGAGGCCTAATATAGCACATATATGTAGCACATATATGTAGCGCACATATGTGTGCTACACAAGGCATAGCAACATTTAAGTTTATTTTGAGCGTTTTTTTTCCGGACTCCATAAAAAATAGTACAAACAGTGGCTTATTGGTGCACCATTACTACATATTGGCGGGCCATTACTACATATTGGCGGGTCATTACTACATATTGGCGGGTCATTACTACATATTGGCGCACCATTACTACATATTGGCGCGCCATTACTACATATTGGCGGGCCATTACTACATATTGGTGCACCATTACTACATATTGGCGCGCCATTACTACATATTGGTGCACCATTACTACATATTGGTGCACCATTACTACATATTGGCGGGCCATTACTACATATTGGCGCACCATTACTACATATTGGCGCACCATTACTACATATTGGCGCGCCATTACTACATATTGGCGCGCCATTACTACATATTGGCGGGTCATTACTACATATTGGTGCACCATTACTACATATTGGTGCACCATTACTACATATTGGCGCGCCATTACTACATATTGGCGCGCCATTACTACATATTGGTGCACCATTACTACATATTGGTGCACCATTACTACATATTGGCACACCATTACTACATATTGGTGCACCATTACTACATATTGGTGCACCATTACTACATATTGGTGCACCATTACTACATATTGGTGCACCATTACTACATATTGGCGCGCCATTACTACATATTGGTGCACCATTACTACATATTGGCACACCATTACTACATATTGGTGCGATCGAAGACATAGAAAACGTCCTATCAAAACACGAGGGTGAACAGGTTGTGCTCCATATTCCCTGGAGTTTGTGAGTGTGTCTTGAGTGCGTGTGCATCAATATTCCCTGGAGTTTGTGAGTGTGTCTTGAGTGCGTGTGCATCAATATTCCCTGGAGTTTGTGAGTGTGTCTTGAGTGCGTGTGCATCAATATTCCCTGGAGTTTGTGAGTGTGTCTTGAGTGCGTGTGCATCAATATTCCCTGGAGTTTGTGAGTGTGTCTGAGTGCGTGTTCATCAATATTCACGGAGTTTGTGAGTGTGTCTTGAGTGCGTGTGCATCAATATTCCCTGGAGTTTGTGAGTGTGTCTGAGTGCGTGTGCATCAATATTCACGGAGTTTGTGAGTGTGTCTGCGAGAGTTGGAGAGCGCGAGCCCTCAGTATTCCCAGAGGTTATTGAGTGCCTGAGTGAATGTGCGCTCAGTATTGGCGGCAGCTTGTCAGTGTCTCAAGTGAATGTGCACTCAGTATTTACAGGAGTTCGTGAGTGTGTTTGAGAGCATGTTGCACTCAGCATTCACTCTAACTTGCCGGCAACTATCTGTTGATGACCGTCAACTGTTCCCATCCGCATGTGTGTGCTGCTCTCCGCCTCTTCCTGCTCTCTTATCACTCTTTACTCTCTGTTGCTCTTGTTTCTCTCCCTCTTACTGATAACTCTTTGGTGTTGTATGAAGCAACTTTTGATAATTAAGGGGCGGGAGAGAAAGTAGGGAGAGAGAGAGAGAGAGAGGGAGAGAGAGAGGGAGAGAGAGAGAGAGAGAGAGAGAGAGAGAGAGAGAGAGAGAGAGAGAGAGAGAGAGAGAGGGTAGGGAGAGAAAGAGAGAAAAAAAGAAAGAAAGGTAGGGAGAGAAAGAGAGAAAAAAAGAAAGAAAGGTAGGGAGAGAAAGAGAAAGCAGGGAAGGAGGAAGGGAGAGAGAAGGAAGAGAAAGAGAGAGAAATAAGAGAGGGATTGCGAGCCAGATTTGTATTTAATGTATTTGGTTAATTTCATCCTGTTTTTATCCATGGAGAGTGTGTCCTCATGATGATGGTATCATGGTAGTCATGATGAATGTATACTAGTGTTCATGGTAGTCATGGAGAGTGTGTCCTCATGATGATGGTATCATGGTAGTCATGATGAATGTATACAAGTGTTCATGGTAGTCACGGAGAGTGTGTCCTCATGATGATGGTATCATGGTAGTCATGATGAATGTATACTAGTGTTCATGGTAGTCACGGAGAGTGTATCCTCATGTTGATGGTATCATGGTAGTCATTGTATCCTCATGTTGATGGCATCAGGCTTCACGAGCACATGTATATATGGTCCACTGATACAAACACCTTGTGGCGTGTGATGAACGCCCAGGAAAGCAAGGAAGAGCGCGAATATGAGAGCATGACATGATAAACAGCAGCTGTGTTTGTCACTTTCTCCTGCCGTTGTTGTTGATGAGGTGTGGGGCGATGGCGCGGGGACGCAACTCGAGTTTCTCCGGTTGTCGCCGTCCGCCACGCTGCCTCGTTGGCGGTGAGGGCCGGGAAGGCTTCCAGGAAACTCTCGCTCTTTTTTCTCCGTGGATTCTGAACCCTTGTATTGTGACGAGGGTGTATACACACACGCTTACTGAAAGATTATATGAATTTATTTTGCTTGGTACTGTCTCCAGCGCAGGTAGTTATCATAAGACTTGCAATACAAGCCAAGGAATTGTGAAACCGTCGTTTGCTGTTACGTCAAGGGCTACATAGCTTCAGGTACGTAGCTACAGGCTACATAGCTGCAGGCTACATAGCTGCAGGCTACATAGCTGCAGGCTACATAGCTGCAGGCTACATAGCTGCAGGCTACATAGCTGTGGGCTAGCTGCATATACCTACCAACACTCCTCTGATATTAGACAAACGTTTTCTTAATACTGTACTTCGATGTTTACATCCCAACACTGGCTGGCGCGTGGCCTTCAGCGATGTCGCATTTCTTGCGTTGTGTTTGGGATGTGTGTAGAGGGGGGGAGGGAGGGGGCGTGAGGCAGCAATTGCTCCCTCAAACCCCCCTCCCCCTTCCCCCTCCCCCTCCCTCTCCCCCCATCCTCCTGAAGGGTCGTGGGCTTTTTCCGTTTTTGAAACTAACAGATACATTTTAACTTGTACAGCTCTTGATTTGTTCGTTAATTAATTTGTGTATATATGTTCTGTTTAGTTAATTGGGATTAATAATATTAAGCACCGAGACCAGCAGTGCTGTGATTGCCTCTACCAGTGAAACATCATCACGGTGCAGGTGGTGGAGTATATTACATGTGAGTAGTAGTGGCTCAGGGCATGTCTATGTGGGTGTGCACGGTATGTGTACATATTTCCTTGTGTGGTGAGGACGAGACTGGAAGGCACATGTGTAGCCAGGTCTGGCGGGACGCACTGTGTGTATTCACCTAGTTGTGCTTGCGGGGGTTGAGCTCTGCTCTTTCGGCCCGCCTCTCAACTGTCAATCAATCAACTTTTACTATTAACTTTTTTTCCACACACACACACACACACACACACACACACACACACACACACACACACACACACACACACACACACACACACACACAGACAACGCAAGAAATGCGACATCGCTGAAGGCCACGCGCCAGCCAGTGTTGGGATGTAAACATCGAAGTACAGTATTAAGAAAACGTTTGTCTAATATCAGAGGAGTGTTGGTAGGTATATGCAGCTAGCCCACAGCTATGTAGCCTGCAGCTATATAGCCTGCAGCTATGTAGCCTGCAGCTATGTAGCCCACAGCTATGTAGCCTGCAGCTATGTAGCCTGCAGCTATGTAGCCTGCAGCTATGTAGCCCACAGCTATGTAGCCTGCAGCTATATAGCCTGCAGCTATGTAGCCTGCAGCTATGTAGCCTGCAGCTATGTAGCCTGCAGCTATATAGCCTGCAGCTATGTAGCCTGCAGCTATGTAGGTAGTGGGCTAGATGACCCCTTCCAAGCGCTATAAAGTCATAATGGCTTGATGCTTTCCCCTGATAATTAAAACAAAAATTAGGGGTCCGCCAAAATTTGTTGGAAAAATACAATGTGTTTTAAACATCATCATTGTATTCTTTGAGGGAAAAGTAGTAGTAATTATCACCAGAGAAATAACATTTACAATTTAAATTTCCGAAATTTTTCGCTTGCAAAGTTTAGAATAATGTTCTGACAATCAAGTTTGTGTAAATCATGTGATTACCTGAACACCATGAGAACATAGTTCAGCTTGTCTTTTATTCTTGACCTCTGGAAGTTCTTGATTAGTTTTAGAGCAGAAACTGGTCCCCTCCCCCTAGACTGGAGGGCCCCATCAGGCACAGCTGCATGTGTTTAAACTTGCAGTTCAAAACTTCATTCAGTTTCATATATTCTCTGAACTGAATTAATGCATTCCAAAGCTGGGTTCCAGATCTTTGGTAGCCTCTTGCAATTCATTATTCTTTAATTGCAATTGCTCAATTCTGAGTAAGCATCCATCCGTTTACTCAAGGCGCTGCACAGCTGATCAATGGCAGATATATAAACATTGATAAGAAATGGTTCAGGTGGTGAGCCTGAGAGATCAGTCTCCTGTGCCGGTCCGTCATGAAACTTCACTGTGGCACAGCGCTTACGTGTTCTTGCGGTCTCTCTCTTGCGGGGTGATGTGCCAGCCTTCACACTGACATTCTTTTCAAATTCATCAAACATCTCTCTGTGATGCAACAAATTCTTTCAGCGAATGAAGAAGTATTTCTGATGCATTCAGATCCAGCGCCGAACTTTGCAGACTCATGCTTGCTTTGTGGGAGCGTTTTAGTAAAGATCACCGAACACTAGAATCAATGCGCCCGCCCGGAATCCAAGCCCAAGACCCGTAGCTATCTTATCTTGTGGTTACCTTGTGTTGGTTTCGGGGCTTTGCGTCCCCGCGGCCCGGTTATCGCAAAGGCCTCCTCGGTGCTTGACTGGTCAACTAGGCTGTTGAACGCGGTTGCTCGCAGCCTGACGTATGAGCCACAGCCTGGTTGATCAGGTATCCTTTGAACGTGTTTATCGAGTTCTTTCTTGAACACTGTGAGGGGTCGGCCAGTTATGCCCCTTATGTGTAGTGGAAGCGTGTTGAACAGTCTCGGGCCTCTGATGTTGATCGAGTTCTCTCTCAGAGTACCTGTTGCACCTCTGCCTTTCAACGGGGATATTCTGCACATCCTGCCATGCCTCCTGGTCTCATGTGATGTTATTTCTGTGTGCAGGTTTGGGACCAGCCCCTCTACTATTTTCCACGTGAAAATTATTATGTATCTTTATATTATGTTTATATTTATGTTATGTATTACTATAAATTATTATGTAAATTATATTTATGTTAACCCGTCTTTGGCCACAGGTAGCTGATCTCTCCGTCAGCACGCCATACCCTCCTCTCTCAGAAAGCTTCGTCATCTTCGTACTTGCTTACAATTTCTTCCGCACAGGTACGTGTCAGAGTACCGAAGCCTGACCCAAGGAGCCAGTGAGGGCGGGGGGATGTCAGCTCCTGCAGGGGAGGTGGTGGCTCACCCTGTGGACGCCTACCTTCTCCTGAAGCGGCTGACAGTGGAGTGGGCCAGCGTAGAGGACGCCATGACGTTTCATGCCAACGCTACACAAGGTCAGTTATGGTGGGGAGGGTTGTGGTGTGGGCGTATAGCTCTGTGTTGTGGCATGTTGTATTGTTAGGTGTTAGTATATGTGTAGGTCTGTTGCGCTGACTTGTCTTGTGACATACTGTAGTGTTATGGGTGTTGTAATGTCTGTGTGTGAGTCTGTTGTGCCTCCTAACAGAGCTGGTACAGCGTGTGGTGGTGTTCCGCGAGAAGTCCACCTTCCCAGTGATGGAGGACCTGCACGGGGCGGCGGTGGCTCTGGTCCGCCTCCAGGATACCTACAACCTTAACATGTCCACACTGCCGGCTGGATCCTTCATTGGCGTCGGCCTCACTTCCCACGGTGGGTAGGGCGCTCCAGTGGATAAGGGAGTACCTAAGCAATATGGAGCATAGAGTTATAGTGAGGGGTAAGACCTCAGATTGGCGTGAGTCCAGACTTCCTTGACTCACAAAATGTGTCTCACCATCTTCACCGCCCACAACACTCACACAGCACCACCCACACAGCACCACCCACACAGCACCACTCACACACACACCGCTCACACACACACCACCCACACAGCACCGCTCACACAGCACCACTCACACAGCACCACTCACACAGCACCACCCACACAGCACCACTCACACACACACCGCTCACACACACACCACCCACACAGCACCACTCACACAGCACCACTCACACAGCACCACTCACACAGCACCACTCACACACAGCACCACTCACACAGCACCACCCACACAGCACCACCCACACAGCACCACCCACACAGCACCACTCACACAGCACCACTCACACAGCACCACTCACACAGCACCACCCACACAGCACCACTCACACAGCACCACCCACACAGCACCACCCACACAGCACCACCCACACAGCACCACCCACACAGCACCACTCACACAGCACCACTCACACAGCACCACTCACCCAGCACCACTCACACACACACCACTCACACAGCACCACCCACACAGCACCACTCACACAGCACCACTCACACAGCACCACTCACACAGCACCACCCACACAGCACCACTCACACAGCACCACCCACACAGCACCACTCACACAGCACCACCCACACAGCACCACTCACACAGCACCACCCACACAGCACCACTCACACAGCACCACCCACACAGCACCACCCACACAGCACCACCCACACAACACCACTCACACAGCACCACCCACACAGCACCGCTCACACAGCACCACTCACACAGCACCACCCACACAGCACCACCCACACAGCACCACTCACACACAGCACCACTCACACAGCACCACTCACACACAGCACCACTCACACAGCACCACTCACACAGCACCACTCACACACAGCACCACTCACACAGCACCACTCACACAGCACCACCCACACAGCACCACCCACACAGCACCACTCACACAGCACCACTCACACAGCACCACTCACACAGCACCACCCACACAGCACCACTCACACAGCACCACCCACACAGCACCACCCACACAGCACCACCCACACAGCACCACCCACACAGCACCACTCACACAGCACCACTCACACAGCACCACTCACACAGCACCACTCACACACACACCACTCACACAGCACCACCCACACAGCACCACTCACACAGCACCACTCACACAGCACCACTCACACAGCACCACCCACACAGCACCACTCACACAGCACCACCCACACAGCACCACTCACACAGCACCACCCACACAGCACCACTCACACAGCACCACCCACACAGCACCACTCACACAGCACCACCCACACAGCACCACCCACACAGCACCACCACACACAACACCACTCACACAGCACCACTCACACACACACCACTCACACAGCACCACTCACACACAGCACCACTCACACAGCACCACCCACACACACACCACTCACACAGCACCACTCACACACAGCACCACTCACACAGCACCACCCACACAGCACCACTCACACAGCACCACCCACACAGCACCACTCACACAGCACCACTCACACAGCACCACTCACACAGCACCACCCACACAGCACCACTCACACACACACCACTCACACAGCACCACCCACACAGCACCACCCACACAGCACCACCACACACACACACCACTCACACAGCACCACCCACACACACACCACTCACACAGCACCACCCACACAGCACCACCCACACACACACCACTCACACAGCACCACTCACACACAGCACCACTCACACAGCACCACCCACACAGCACCACTCACACAGCACACTCACACAGCACCACTCACACAGCACCACCCACACAGCACCACTCACACACACACACCACTCACACAGCACCACCCACACAGCACCACCCACACAGCACCACCCACACACACACCACTCACACAGCACCACACACACAGCACCACCCACACAGCACCACCCACACAGCACCACCCACACACACACCACTCACATACAGCACCACTCACACACACACCACTCACACAGCACCACTCACACAGCACCACTCACACAGCACCACTCACACACACACCACTCACACAGCACCACCCACACAGCACCACTCACACAGCACCACTCACACACAGCACCACTCACACAGCACCACCCACACACAGCACCACTCACACAGCACCACTCACACAGCACCACTCACACACACACCACTCACACACACACCACTCACACAGCACCACTCACACAGCACCACTCACACAGCACCACTCACACAGCACCACCACACACAGCACCACTCACATACAGCACCACTCACACACACACCACTCACACACACACCACTCACACAGCACCACTCACACAGCACCACTCACACAGCACCACTCACACAGCACCACTCACACACACACACCACTCACACACACACCACTCACACAGGACCACTCACACAGCACCACCCACACAGCACCACTCACACACACACCACTCACACAGCACCACCGACACACAGCACCACTCACACAGCACCACTCACACAGCACCACTCACACACACACCACTCACACAGCACCACCCACACACAGCACCACTCACACAGCACCACTCACACAGCACCACTCACACACACACCACTCACACAGCACCACTCACACAGCACCACTCACACACAGCACCACTCACACACACACCACTCACACACACACCACTCACACAGCACCACTCACACAGCACCACTCACACAGCACCACTCACACACACACCACTCACACACAGCACCACTCACACAGCACCACCCACACAGCACCACCCACACAGCACCACTCACACAGCACCACCCACACAGCACCACCCACACAGCACCACTCACACAGCACCACTCACACAGCACCACCCACACAGCACCACCCACACACAGCACCACTCACACAGCACCACTCACACAGCACCACTCACACACACACCACTCACACAGCACCACTCACACAGCACAGCACACTCACACAGCACCACTCACACACACACCACTCACACACACACCACTCACACAGCACCACTCACACAGCACCACTCACACAGCACCACTCACACAGCACCACTCACACAGCACCACCGACACACAGCACCACTCACATACAGCACCACTCACACACACACCACTCACACAGCACCACTCACACAGCACCACTCACACAGCACCACTCACACACACACCACTCACACAGCACCACCCACACAGCACCACTCACACAGCACCACTCACACACAGCACCACTCACACAGCACCACCCACACACACCCACCACTCACACAGCACCACTCACACAGCACCACTCACACACACACCACTCAGCACACACACCACTCACACAGGACCACTCACACAGCACCACCCACACAGCACCACTCACACACACACCACTCACACAGCACCACCGACACCACAGCACCACTCACACAGCACCACTCACACAGCACCACTCACACACACACCACTCACACAGCACCACCCACACACAGCACCACTCACACAGCACCACTCACACAGCACCAGTCACACACACACCACTCACACAGCACCACTCACACAGCACCACTCACACAGCACCACTCACACACACACCACTCACACACACACCACTCACACAGCACCACTCACACAGCACCACTCACACAGCACCACTCACACACACACCACACACACCCAGCACCACTCACACAGCACCACCCACACAGCACCACCCACACAGCACCACTCACACAGCACCACCCACACAGCACACCCACACAGCACCACTCACACAGCACCACTCACACAGCACCACCCACACAGCACCACCCACACAGCACCACTCACACAGCACCACCCACACAGCACCACTCACACAGCACCACTCACACAGCACCACCCACACAGCACCACTCACACAGCACCACTCACACAGCACCACTCACACAGCACCACTCACACAG